CTTTCAGGAGGAGTAGGAGGAGGAGGAGGAGGAGGAGGAGGAGGAGGAGGAGGGCTACCTCATGATGGAAGGCGCCGTGGCAACGAGGTGGCGACTCCACGACAGCGCCCCCTATGTGAAGATAAGCGGCGGGGCGGCGCGCGTTAGCATCCCAATAACACGCGGCGACATGTTGTCGTTATATAAGTACATGGCGATGGGTGTAGTCAGTGATACTCAAACATACAGCAGTTGGTGCGCAGCGTTAGTTGCCTACGCAAATAGCGTTAGGGAGAATGAAATCTCCTGAATTATTACTATATTATATATATATATATGTGTGTGCGTGTGTGTGTGACATACTAGCGCAAATAATGTCATCATGCATATGGCAGCACATAGGCCTTCAGATTCAACAAAAATAGCCTACATAGAATTCCCACAAGATCACAGGATCTAGCATTTGATGATTCATTTTTAAAAGAGAATATTATTTTCAAAACACATAAACAACAGACTATTCCTCCAAAAAAATGTACATAGCTGTATTCAATGCAAAATAGCAATCCCATTCAAAATACGATGCATCTCAATCAAACTGATGCTTCTAATTTAAACAGTCACAGATAGATGGGGCATCAAAACCATAGATCTGCTGAGCACAAATTCCACTTTTGCCCTTGTGTTCCCGCTTTTACCCCCGGGTTCCCCTACTCTATACATAAAATGCTCAGACATACTCGATTCGTGTCAGTCTGCACAAGTCAAACACCAATATGAATGCGATGCACCGCAGGTCGCCTCAATCTTCAGCTGACAATCATCAAATATCAATGTAAAATCTACACAAAGTACACATATAAATTTAATTCACAAAATCTTGCTAATGCCATTGTACTAGCCCATAGTAATTTCTGATCGGGTGATACCGTTCCACCGGCCTACACATGTTCACAAATCGCTAGAGAAGAAGAGCTCTATTAGACACTCACTATCTAGAACAGTACTTAAGAGAGGAAGAACTATCAGATACTACTACTAGAAGTAACATAGAGAGAAGAGAACTATCCTAGAACTACTACTAGACAAGATACATAGAGAGAGAGAACTATCTAGAACTACTACTAGAAGTACTAGAGAGAGAGAACTATCTAGAACTACTACTAGAAGTACTAGAGAGAGAGAACTATCTAGAACTACTACTAGAAGTACTAGGAGAGAGAACTAATCAGAAGACTAACTTAACTAGAAGTACAGAGAGAGAGACTAATCTAAGAACTAACTACTAGAATACTAAGAGAGAGAAGAGAAATATCGTTCGAGGTTCTTATAAACCGAATCGGTTTACCGATAATATCATAGTATAATCAACATATCTATACTATACGTATATATATAATATACATAATATATATATATATATATATAAATATTAATATATATAAATAATATATATAGCAATATATATTTGAGATTATATTACGCAAACTACACTGTCCACGGCACGCAAGGCATGCACGCACGCACGCTACGCAGCACGCACGCACGCAACGCGCGCGCGCAACGCGCG